AAAGGGATGGTGCGAGCAGGAAAAATGGGCATGGTTGCAGCAAACACAATCCCTGCTGGTGCTTTTCACCCCTCACACTGAAATCCAATCCCTGCATCACCAAGCAGTTSAAACTCACATTTTACATCGTGGAGCTCTCCCTAAAACTCCCCAGTTCCCTCAGTGATGTTGCTGACCTATTTCCCAGCTCTTCCAGTGAACACAGTACCCAGCTCTCTGGATCACCCAGACATGGCTAATGGGCACCCACGGGTAGTTGCCCTCTGCAGAGCCCACGYTCCTCCCAGCTCACCTCTCTCAGCTTGCAGGGCGTGTTCCTGTCTCCCTGAGATCCTCAGAATGGCTGCTTCAGCTGCAGGATTTGTGTGACATTCCAGGGGAGCTGGGGAAAAGGAGAGTTTGTCAGTGCTCGTGGTGATGTTCATCGGTTCATGAACCCTTTGGGTCACCCAGCCTTGGTGGCACTGGGACAGAACAGGACTTGAGGGCAGCTTTTGTCTGGCTGAAAAAGTGACTGGTTAGGAAGAAAATGAGGCAGAGAGGCTGGGAGAAAATGTGCCACACACACCAGGGACATTAGGAACATTTAGACTTTTGTTTTTTACAGTGCCCACAAGAAAGGTGGAGCTGGGCCCTGAGGGAAAGTCGGGAGAGGCAGAGAGGAGATGCTGAGCTCCAGAGCTGCTCCCCCCTGCAGTGGCCATGCTCACACTGCCTTTCCTAGCCAAGCTGCCTGGATGGTGGCTGTGACAGAGCAGAGCCCTGCCTGGGCTGTGAAATATTCTGGGCTGGCTGAACAAATGCTCCTGGCTCTGGGCGAAAATGCAGCAAGGCTGCTCAAGTCCTGGTGTGGGCACATCGATGCTGCAGCCTGGACTGGGCTGGGAGAGGCTGCACTTTGCTCCAGACACCTTCTCCTCCCTCTCTGTCACTCTTTGCAGCCGCTGATCACTGGAAATCGTGGGGATTCTCGTGCCAGTGCTCACGGATGGTTCATTCATTCCCTCGCTCATTCATGCCCACCCACAGCTCTCTCCCACAGCAGCCTGCATCTCCCTGCAGTCGCTGGAGGAGGTTTTTGGGTATTGTCTGAGCAGAAAGGCGATCTCTGCCGCTGAAGAATGGGGTTAGTGGACTGTGGAGCCCTGAGTGCCGTGCAGGCCAGTTCTCTGCTCGGTGCCTTGTGAGAAAACACGTCTGAGCTGCTGCACAATTTAGAGGAGAGGGGACACAAAGCCTCAGGGGCTTCTTGCTTGAAAAATTTCTGCCTGATASTCACAMACAGAATGAACYRRGCTGGARGAGACCTTCTAGATCAGCAAATCCAGCCCAACACCTCCTCATCAACTRAACCATGGCACTGAGTGCCACATCCAGTCTGTTTATAAACACATCCAGRGACGGTGACTGCACCACCTGAGCAGACAATTCCAGGGTGTGATCACCCTTAAAATGAAGAMTTTTTTYCTAATATCAAACCTAAACTTCCCTTGGCWCAGCTCAAGGCTGTGTCCTCTCATTCTGTCTATTGTTGCCTGGGAGAAGAGACCGATCCCCACCCTTCAGGCAGTTGTAGAGAGTGAYAAGGWCACMYCTGAGYCTCCTTTTTACGAGGCTGAACAACCCCAGCTCTCCCTGTAGGAGACAAGAGGTGAGGGCTCAGCTCAGCTCAGCCAAAGCAGGTTCATCTCCAAGGAGCTGTCCTACCACCCTTTCTTATCCCTCTTTAGAACATCTCCTCAGTGGAATGCTCAACCAGAGAGCCTCCCAACCTGTGAGAAATCAGTGATTTTCTGTCACAGCTTGAAGAGCCTGCAGAGGTGACTGGAGAAACCACGCTCGTGCCACTTTCAAGCTTTCCCCYGGATATCTGCTCTGTGCTGTGCTTTATGCACGTTTAAACAATAAATCCAGAGCACTTATTCACGAGCATGGTGTTCAGCAGCTCGGGAGAGATCTTTCCTRCAAGAAGCATTGACTGGCCAAATTTTGCAGAGCTCTGCAGACACAAATGTGCATTTGCACTGGAAACCACCTGCTGCACAGGGACTGGAAGAAGGAGTAGTTAGATGGGCTGGATGTGAATTTAGGAAGCTTGGATACAGGGAGAGTTGCACAGATTTTTCTGACATCTAGGCTGGAAAACAAGCCCCATTCTTCTTTTCAAATTCTGCTTCAAAGTCCTACTATTCTTTTAGGAAAAAACAAAACCCGGCTTTCTGGTCACCAGGCATTTTCAGGAAAAATTCAGTRTGTGCACAGAATGAGTTCAGCAGCTGGGCTCATTGAGAGAGATGTACAAGGTGCGAGCTGTCTCCTTGCTCAAAGGAGTAGGAACAAAAAAACCTCCTGGCAGCTGTCAGTTGTCTCACCAGCAGTGCATGCTAATTCCAGCTCCTCACTTCCACTTCTCAGGCAAAAAGCAGCTCCTGCTGGAGCCACTGAATCCCTGGAAAATGAAGGAGCAGCTGTCCCCTGCTGAACTGGCTGTCCCTTAGCATCTTTTCCCAGCAAARTGCAGATGAAGCTTCGTTTTGTTGTAACAAAACTGCAGAAGGCAGGGATTGAAAATGGAGATGGAAGGTGAACTGAAATGTATTTCCCAGTGAAAGCCAGTGACTCTGCTGCTTCCCTGCAAACCCTGGGG